TTTTTTTTTTTTTTGGTACCGGGGATTGAACGCAGGACATTGCACTTGTGAGGCAGGTGCGGTGCCACTGGGCTAAATCCCAGGCCCTGTAACTTTATTATTTTTTTAATGAATTTTATTTTGAGTCAGGATCTCACTAAGTTGCCCAAGCTGGCCTCAAACTCTTGATCCTGCCTCAGCCTCCTGAATAGCTCTGATTACAAGTTTGCCACCAAGCCCAGCACACAGTACGGCATGTTTTATCTGGAGCCAGAGGAGCAGACTGTAAGCCATGCTGCCCCTTGGGGAAAAGGAAACAGTCACATTCCATAGGTAAGTGAAGTTAATCTATTTGCCCTTGGTGATAAGAACTCAGAAAGATTATGCAGCTCCTCCTCTCAAAACACACATACCACCAGGAGGCTGAGCTATAAAACAACATTCTGAGCCTGGTGGTGCACGCCTGTCATTCCAGCACTCGGGAGGCTGAGGCAGGAGGGTTGCTGTGAGTTCAAGACCAGCCTGGGCTACATAGTGAGTTCCAGGTCAGTCTCAACTACTTAGTGAGACCCTGTCTCAAAACAAAACAAAACAAAAAACATTCTGTGTTTGAAATGAGCCAGGAGGATGGCTGCTGAGGCCCCACCCTTGGTCTCTACTATCGAGGGGAGACCTAAATCAAAGTCTCTGAAAAAGAGCACAAGGAGGCCCCACCTTCCGACAAATCAACAGCTGCCATCCTGTGGCCACTGGCACCGGAATGTGCCTGAACAGCTCCCTTCCTTGATGCCGCAACCACTTCCGGGCAGCTTATGAATCCAAGCAGGGAGAGGCGACCTCCATTCCTCTTCACCCAGGGTTACAGGGGGTCCTGTTGGTCACAAGCATCAAGCAAAGACTGAATGTCAGTCATCAAACATCACCCACCAGTGCTGCCTCCCTGCAGATAATACATGGGAAAGCTTCCGGAAGCGCCCACTTAGTGTCAATCATGTCCTGAGCACCAAGCGACATTTACTGAAATCAGAGGTTGCTCTGATGCCCTTTCAACATCAGCTCATATAATCACCACCACCATCCTGCACAACAGATACCACGACACCTACCTGATGTGAAGGAAACCTGCACTCAGACATCACTGCTGACCCGTCTAGGGCGTCCAGTTTGGAAGAGGCAAATCAGGCCTTGAGAGAAGCTAATTTTGCCCTGGAAGCCTGACCTCCTATGATCTTCCCCCAGAAGAACAGATATTCTGGACTTGCATGGCGCAATTTAGTAGTCACTAGTGCCGTGTGTTACTGATCACTTCCTGTGGACCACAGTGTGGCTGAGGAATTCTCTGGCTTAATTTTAATAAATTAAAATTGAAAGATAAAACGAGCATGGTTCCATTATCTGAAAACTTTTAAATACATTTGGAATAACGTGGAAATATATGAGTCCACACTTTCACCTATGCTAAGCATACACTACCACTGAGCTACAAATCCAGCCCTTTTTAATTTTTATTTTTAAATTTATTTATTTATTGGTACCAGGGATTGAACTCGGGACCTTGCGCTTGCAAGGCAGGTGACTTCACCACTGAGCTAAATCCCCAGCCCAACTGTTTGTTTTTTTTTTTTTTCTACCAAGGGATCAAGCTCATTAACTTGTGCCTGCAAGGCAGACACAGTGCCACTAAGCTAAATGCCCTTTTAAAAAAATGTCTTCTTTTGCCAGGAATTTAGCTCAGTGGTGCTACCACCGGCCTTGCAAGCACAAGGACCCAAGTTCAATCCCCGGTACCAAAAAAAAAAAAAAAAAAGCCTTCTTTTGAGATAGGATCTTACTAAATTGTCCAGGTTGGCCTCAAATGTGAGATCCAGCCTCCCATGTGGTAGGTTGATGCCTGCATGCACCACCACATCCACCAAGTGATGGATGCTTTTGAACGTGCATATGCAGAAAGCAAAAACTTCAGATCTGCTAACTTGCAGCTCAATTCAAGATCTAAGAACCTAGGGCTGGGGCTGTAATTCAGGTGTAGAGTGCTTTCCTCACATGCTTCGGGCCCTGGGTTCAAGCCCCAGCACCACACACACACAGGCCCATACACGTGCACGCACGCGAGCGCACACACACACACACACACACACACACAATCCAGGACCAAGTATGGTGGGTGGCAATATTACCTATAATCTCAGCCTGGGCAATTTAATGAGTCCCTGTCTCAAAATGCACTTTTTTTGTTGTTTTTTTTGGTACCAGGTATCATACTCAGTTCCTTGTGCTTGTGGAGGCAGGTGCTGGAACCGCTGAGCTAAATCCCTGGCCCTCAAACTGCACTTTGAAAGGGTTTGGGATATAGCTTGGTGGTGAAGTGCCTCTGGGTCTGACCACCCCCCGTACCACACACAAAGCAAAACAAAAACAAAAGAACCTAGAACTGGGAACATAGCTTCGTTTAGTGGTGGACCGCACACGTGAGGCCTTGGGTTTGATCCCTAGAACCATAACCACAACCACAACAACAACAACAACAAAAATTTGAGAAGCAAAGAGCTTCTACGATAACCCCGAAGGAAACATTTTTTTTTAATCACCACAGTCGTCGCTGAAAACTCAAACGTGAAGTGTAAGTGAACAGCTTTAATTGCAACCATGATCTGAGGCCTAGGCGGGAACATCACAAGTCTGAGGCCATTCTGGGCTACAGAGCGAGTCTGCGCTTCTAAGAAAAACACAAAAACAAAAACAAAAACAGCAGCCATGGTCCAGTGAGAGAGGAAGGCTCCTTTATGAGGCCCTACAGGATTGCTCCCTCGGGCAGCACATATACTGAAGTAGGATTGCTCTGATCCGGCCGGAGACCTCATGGAGCATAGGAAAGTCAAGGTGCGTGGCCCTCACAAGTCCTAGAGAGGAAGGCACAGCGTGTCGTGCAGGTAGGCAATTAAGAGAGTGAAGATCCAGGGGGGTCTTCAGTGGGTCTTGGGCGGGGTACACAGTGGAAGTCATAAAGGAACCCTATTTGTGCCTTTGAACGTCAGTCGGCCACAGTCGGGACAACTGAGGGCACAGACCCGGCTTATCACACCGGCTCGCCCAGTCACTTCCGCTGAGTGACACGAGGGCACCGGGCAAACGGAAAGTTTGAAATTTTCTAATATACTGGAATACACGCACCGATAATCCCAGCTACTCAGTCCCGGGAGGCTGAGGCAGGAGGATAGCTAGTTCAAGGCCAGCCTGGGTAACACAGCGGGATCCCGTCTCCAAAAAATAAACAGGAGCCAAGCGGGGTGGTGCATCATCTCTCATCTCAGCTCTCCGGAGGCACGGACGGGAGGATCGCGAGTCTAAACCCAGTCTGGACAATTGTGCGACTCAGCAAGACTCTCGAAATAAAAAAAATATGTATAAACGAGGGCTGAGGAGGTAGCTCCGTGTGAAGGCCTTGGGTTCAAGCCTCCAGGACGGAATACATAAAGCTGTATGTATCCCTAGCACGGCAAAGTAATGACAGTAAATACAACGGATGATATATTCAGGAAAAGATGAGAATGTGACACGTACAATGAGGGCAGCTAGTCGGGCCCAGAGAGAAGAGTCACAGCCCTAAACCCGACACGCCGAGCCTCCCTGAACAGGGAAACATCCTGCCCTTTGATTTCTCAGAAGAGCAGCCTCGGTCTGCGTGAAGGCTCTCGGATCATCTCTCTCGGGCCAGAGACCTAGGAGGGGCAAGCTTATTCTTCTGAAGATGTGCCGTTGTCACCAGAGTCATAACGACAGCAAAGCCAAGACTTCGACCACGTGACCCGGCTCCAGCAACACACAGTGGAAAGGCCGGCCGGGCTGCAGGGATTGCATTGTAAACTATTGGTCTGAGCGCGATGGAAGATGATCTCACACCGGGCCTCACTCATTGCCATCAAAGCCCTTAGTAGGCGCCCTAGGTCTGACAAGAGCTCACCAAGCTGCAGCGAAACTTGGACTGGGGGGTGACGTCCAGTTCACCGGGCTGTAGCAGTTTCCCCAGCACACTGAGGAGGGAAACTTAGAGGCAGGAATGTGGACATATGTGATCTCTCCACACCCACTTTGTCGACATATGTTAAAGACCTAGAAGGCCCTCTTTTGATGAAGGTATTTAGAGTGAGGTAACTGATGGGAGCTTCCTATTTTTTTTTTTTTTTTAAACAGGATTTCACTGCCTTGAACTCACAGCAATCCCCCTGCCTCAGCCTTCCAAGGGGTGGGATAACAGGCATTCACCACCACGCCTGGCTCTTTCCATTCCTGAGGAGCCCTGCGGTCATTCTCCACTGATGAGTGTAGGGGACTCAGTCCCTGATCAGTGGGGATGAAGAGAGCCCAGGGTATCAGCGTGGGGAACCTTGAGCCTTTGATAAGACAGTGGGATCCTCTCACCTGTCAAAGGCAGGCAGAATACATCATTAATCAGGATGGTCTGTCTGGAGCTGGGTGTGGTCATGCATACCTGTAACCCCCACACTCAGGAGGCTGAGGCAGGAGGGTCACAAGGTCAAGGCCAGCCTTGGCTACATAGCAAGAGCTTGTTTCAACCACCCCCGCAAAATGGTTTACCCTGCACAGATCATCAGTGCTGGCCATGTTAGCATAGAATCCTCAGCAGTGAAATAAATAAGCTGCTTAATACAAGCAAGGATCAACCAACCCTGAAATAAGGATCTTATACTTAATTTTGAGCATGTGGGCCACATAATCTCTGTTACAACTATTTGACTCTTCCCTTGTAGCCTGAAATAAGCCATAAATTATATATAAGCAAATGAGTGGCTGGGTATCAATAAAATTTTATTTAGGAAAACAAATGGAAAGCCGGCATGGTGGCGCACGCCTGTCATTCCAGCACTCGGGAAGCTGAGGCAGGAGGATCGCTGTGAGTTAAGACCAGCCTGGGCTACACAGTGAGTTCCGGGTCAGTCTCAGCTACATAGTGAGACCCTGCGTCAAAAAACCAAAACCAAAACCAAAACCAAATGGAGAACCAAACTCAAGCCATAGGCCAATATATTAACCTGCCTACTAGAATATTTTTCTTTTTTGGGGGGGGTACCGGGGATGGAACTCAGGACTTCGTGCTTGCAAAGCAGGCAGCGGAACCACTGAGCTAAATCCCCGGCCCCTAGAATATTTCCTGGTCTATGCAACAGAAAGTCTCAAGTCTGGTAAACAACCCCTTCCTTGATTCATATATTTGCCATACCTAGAGTCACAGAATTTTCTACACGTAGATAATTCACAACCTAGAGACCTTTGTCCAGGGAAAACCCCATACCATCAACATAATCTTAAATAATATTATATATTTGCCTTTGTGTTTTCCCCGATGGAACCTCAATTATTTGAATGACTATGTATCAGCAAAAGGAAATATACCCAAAGGGGTGCTGAGGTAACATTACATCCTGGGGACTAGAAACAGAATTATGAGCCAGGTATGGTGGCACATGCCTGTCATTTCAGACCTCTGGAAGGCTCAGGCAGAAAGATCAAAAGTCCAAGACCACCCTGGGCAATGTATTAACTCAATAAAACCCCGTCTCAAACCAAAAAAAAAATAAATAAATAAATTTAAAGTTTCAGCTGGGTGTGGTGGTGCACACCTGTAATCCTAGCACTCGGGAGGCTGAGGCAGGAGGATCGCTGTAAATTTGCGACCAGCCTGGGCTACAATAGTGAGTTCCAGGTCAACCTCAACTACATAGTGGGACCCTGTCTCAAAACAAAACAAAACAAACAAACAAACAAAAAAACCCAACTTTTTAAGGTCTGAGGATGTAGATCACTGTGAAGACCCTAAGTTCAATACCTTGTACCACACACACACACACACAC